CTGAACTATTGGGATGTTTGGCAAGGAATATAGGACGAGTGCCAATTTCTATCGCTGATGTAGTAATGTTCATTTTTGTTGTATGTTGTATGATTATATTATTATGACAACAAAATAACAATCTATTCAGTTCCTGCAACTTCAACCAAGAGAAGAGATATATCTCAGAAGTGATAAAAGCAATCTAAATCTAATAAATATAAGTGATTTCCAAAATTTGTCAGTCACCATGCTATGATATATGAATAAGCCTCTACTGCAACAAATGTATTATAAGTTAAGTTCATCAGTGAATAAATTTGAAAGTCACACATTTGTTGAAAGGCAAAAGCTTCTCTGAGGCCAGTAGTTATAATGTTTACCTGCAATATATAGTTTTCTGAACAGCATATATGGGGGTTTTGGGTGGTGGGTAGCCTAGTGGTTAAAGCATTCGCCCTTCGCGCGGAAAAACTGGGGTCGATTCCCCCACATGGGTACAATGTGCAAAGCCCAAGTCTAGTGTTCCCCGCCCAGATATTGCTGGAATATTGCTAAGAACCTGTAAAACCCAACTCACCCAACCCAACTGAACAGCATATTTTGTGTTTCAGCCTCGAACAACTCGAGTCAGGGAGAAAGGGCTGCACAGATGACGACAGTGACGACCCATGGTAGGTGGGAGAAGCCAGCAGGTGGTAGATACTGTCACTGTCCAACTTTGTACGAGATGAGGTCACATCAACATGTGACAAATATAAGCCTGAAAGTTCACTCCACAAACCTTCATATGAACAGTCTCTACAATAACAAATTGATAAATGTAGTCTCTTATTATTCTAATAATTTGAAACAAGTCAATTGTATTGCCAGTACCACCATAAGGCTCAATCCAACAAGCCTGTACAGACGCGCGGCTCAGATGAACAGCAATCTCAATGTTTGTGTTGTATATGTATGATAGGCGTTTGAGTGATTTATTAGTCGCTAGACGACCTTATAATAATACCTCTACTAAGATGAATGGTTTTGAAATTGTATTCATCAGTCAAAATTTTAAAAACCTAAACTTTGTAGAATATCTGATATGTATAATGCTTATTTAGTTTGTATTGTTTTCTGAACAGCATGTTCTGTGTTTCAGCCTCGAGTGACCCGAGCCAGACCGCGAGGACAGCAGTGACGACCTCAAAAAAGCCTGCTACACAGGGTAGGTGGGAGAAGCCAGCAGGTAGAAAGCCCACACTTTAATCCCCCCAACAATTAACAAGCTGGGGTATAGACCCGTGAGGGTTCTGACTTGCGTCTTGCATGTCATCGTATTCCAGTTGTGTCAATCGGTGCTCATGTTGTCAACCACTGGACTGTCTGTCTGTACCAGACTCCGCCATCTTATTGCTGGACTACTGCTGAGTGCGGCGTAAAACAACAAACAAACAAACAGACTGACATACTCCAATGTCATGTCTTATAAGATCTATCTAATATTTCCAAACAGCAACTGTACTGACATTATCATCTCATAAAGCTCAGTCCATCAAACGTTGACACTCGCCAGCCACACACAGAATAATGTTACAACAACTGGATGTGACAGAAAGATTTTAAACATTGGCTACATAATCCTTGATTACATGAACCAGCTGTCGTCCTTCCCCTTGATCCTTGTGTTGTCAGCCATGTTGGAAGTGGTTGATGACGTACCGTGTCACGTGTCACCACGTTGAGGTGTGAACCCACACTCCGTCGCAGTGGTGACTCAGCATAACACCACTGCCACAGGCTAATTTGCATATCACGTGACCGGACTTTTCTCTTGTTTGTAAACAAACGCGCTTTTTCAGAAATCAGTATAGAACCGACTAATGCAAGTATTTGGGGGCGCTTTACATATTGTTTTGCATAACTATATAGATATGCTACTACAACTGCGACAGTGAGTTGTATGACAATATATATTTATGCATCAAAGTGACCGTGTCGCTAGCTCTCCGTTGGGCTTCGATGACAGCACGTGGAGCCGTACAACCAATGCAAACATAGGATAACTACGCAAAAACAAGTAGATTTTTAAGTATTTGCATACTTTCTCAATGAAAGTTAACCATTCTTTGACATTTGTTTATGAAAATGTGTAGACTTGTCAAACATGAAACGGATGAAAAGCATATGCAATATCTTGAATGGGCTGTGAAAGATGTGACGAATCGTCACATGGCGCTGGCCTGTGGCAGAGGTACTATGCTAGCTGGCTGCCGGCCGCATGGAACTCTGGGTAGGAGAGTGGTGTGAACCATGTAGATGTATGACGAAGATGTCTGGAAGTGTACAGAGTTTACTTTGTGTTACAGCGACTCCATCACCAGCAGACTGCGGGGACCTCCGTGACGCCAGCTATGCCGGGAACCTGGAGAAGGTGAAGCGGATCCTGTCTCAGGGCGTGGACGTCAACTGTAGGAGGTGGGGCTGGACACCGGTGATGAGGGCAGCATGGAGGGGACACAGAGACGTGGTGGAGCTCCTGGTGGGTGAAGGGGCCGATGTGTCACTGGTGGACGGGGGCGGTAACAACGCCCTTCACTTCGCCTGTTATAGAGGACACTTGGAGACGGTGAAGTTTGTGCTGTCTCTGCACGTGGTGGACATCGACGCCAGGAACAACTACGGGCGGACGGCGGCCGACCTGGCGAGACGCGGGGGACATACGCGAGTGTTGGATCTCCTCGTGTCCCGCGGCGCTCAGTGACGTCAGTGTCGTGTTTGTGTGGACGGTGGGGGGAGACCTGACAGTGACGTGGTGTGCCGTTCACGTCGTCGTGTGTACATATGTCTTTATTTACGTGAAACTGTTTGTTGTGTTTGGAGATGAATAAAACTTGTAAAAACTTTGTCAGACATTTTGTCATTTGTTGTGTTTGGAACTTCGCATCATCAGGTAAGAAAATTGTTAACTGAGTGTAAATAGAGATGATGTGTGATTTGTATGTAAGCACCGCACCTCGTGATACGTTCATGCAGGTCGTCATATATTTCTGTGTTAGTTTTACGGCAGAAGTTTGTAATTAATCGTGAAAAACACCAAAAAAACTGTTTGTTTACATCTCGCTGCACTCGGTGACGTCAGACCGAGCCGAGGTTCGCCCAGCTGACGTGGCGCCAAATGTACAATGACAGTGACGTCACACTGTCGATGACGTCACGGCATTCCGGCTTAGGTCTAAACACTAAAGCTGCCGGCTGTTTTCTCGGCTAAATACGATATCGGTAATTCACAGGGCGGCACAATGCTGGCTTCGCGATGTATGCAAGTACAGCACAGGCCTCATGTGGGCGATATAGATTAACAAATGGAGATGTGTTGCATATTATTGCTGCTGAAATTTAAAAAGAAATATTTCTGTTTGGCGAGATATTTATTTTCTCTCTCCCATTTCACCATTTCAATCAAGCTCCTTCCCAGCGGGTGACACCTTCTTTACACTCTCGTCTCACGACTGACCAGATTCCCAGATGAATTCAGAGCTGTAGGTAGGGTTTGGGTTATTTGTTGTTTTTCACCCAGGGGCAGGATGCCAGAGGGATATATATGTCCCTCCTCTTCAAACCTCACTTTGAAGTCGAATAAAATTCAAAATACATCAGACACGCAGAGACTCGTTTTGTATACTGTGAACGTTCCGCCATATTAGATAGTGATTACAAAATCACATTTCACATGTAGCCTACCGGTAATGAGACGCCTGTAACATTACGCGTATTTCAAACTCAGCTGTGATACATACATCCTTGAATTCCTCATACATTTTAGAAACAAATGACACATGGTCTCTGTCACCAATACAAAGTGCCGAGATCAAATCAAGCAAAATAAGTTAGGTGTGAAAACAACGCTGTGCTCGAAAAACTGCACTTGTTTGAAATGTAAAGCTAAATACGTATTTTACAGTGCAGCATTTTCCCCTTTTTTAGCTATCCATTCGTCTATTCGTTCAGAATATTCATGGGAAGAGAATTATAGGAAGAATTAGGGAATTAAAAATAGATACATTGCTATGATTTGATATTTTTCAACAGAAATTTCTTGGGAGTGTCAAAGTCAATATTATAAGTTCATATTAACAACTTCCATGGATAGCCGTTTCATTTTATTTTAAAACTTAAACTGAATATATTACTTTAACCAAATGGATATTTTGCGTTAAAATATACGCACACATTTCCAGGAGAATTGTCTTGGTCTTGGAATAGTTTTTTTAGGTCGTTTGATAAACACAACAGTGATATCTAACAATTCGCAGGTGCGCATTGTCACAAACGATTTACGAATTATTCCTCTCGTTTTGTATTATACAATCAAAATGTTCATCTTTTTCTAAATATTGTGATCACAGGATATTAAACTAATTACTTTATTTCTCCAAGAATTGTAAAAAGTGATTAGGGGAGGTAAATATATATTCATCAAAATACCAGTGTCGTCTTTCTCCGACGCTGTCAAAGATATAAAACCAGCCATGACATCAAATAGAACGGTGTCATGTTTTAAGTATTTCATTACATTTGATCACAAGGCTAGTACTCCATTAATAATGGTGCAACATAAGCCAAATTACACTTGACCAGTCAGAAGAATGTTGTGATCGAAGGACTAATTAACAGCTTACATAGGGCCATTCATTTCGCTATTACTTCTTTTTTTATTAAATAAGTTTCATCATTTCTTACGGTAATATAAGGGAGTATACAGTTTCAATATCGATATTTGTGTTGGAATAGTTTGGTTACTCGTGAACAAAATACCACGAAAATATACTGTCCTTACCCACATCTAATTCTCACCATGTGACCTGAGTTTAAATAAACTGGAGCTAAGCATAGCTGAGTTATGCCCCCTTTTCTTTTTTCGTGTGTAACCTCTCTGTCGCCTTTTGACGTCATAGAGAAAAATCAGTTTTCGTCATTTACGGCAGGCTATTTTTTGCATTAAATGTATGTCAGGCAGACAGACAGACAGACAGACAGACACACAGACAATTTATTCAACGAAAGCCACTGGCCCAAAATACATACATATGCAGGAATACATAAAGCCTGCGCAAAATGATATTTACATTATTTACATTTGTTTTTGTTTTTATTCTTATAAATTCGCAGTGGATTATTTACTATTTACCCTAAGTTGATGAGCTTTGGTTGAGAAAAATAGATATTTTATATAAGGTATCATATGCATCTGAGGAAATAATAGAGATACAGTTACGGTATGTAATATATTTATCTAAACGTGCATTACCAGAGCTGTAGGATTCACAAATTATTAATAAGTCTTTCTTCATATAGTTAGGCATGGTATCTTCCAGTATTTACTGCTATTGGAAAGTTACTTAAAATCCTTTTTAAGTGAGATGGAAGTGGTGAATTTAAGTAATATTCAACATTTAGTAGCGATTTAAAATGTTTATAGGAATGAGTCAGATAAACTGTTCACATTTACATTCCAGGTTTGCTGCAAGTTGTCAAATAGTCTCTGTTTAAACATGGAAATAAAAACAATCTTATCCCCAACTTCTTGTGCTATCCATGCATATCCAAATCCAAATCTGAATAAAATAGTTTTAATGTGTGTGGCCCAGGTGGTGCGACCTGAATCATCCAGAACAGGTAGCATCTTGTAACACTGATATATGGTAGTCTCTCCGGGCCCAGGTGGTCCAGGTGGTCCAGGTGGTGCGACCTGAATCATCCAGAACAGCTAGCATCTTGTAACACTGACATGTGGTCTCTCTGGGCCCAGGTGGTCCAGGTGGTGCGACCTGAATCATCCAGAACAGCTAGCATCTTGTAACACTGATATATGGTAGTCTCTCCGGGCTCAGTTGTATCAGCCTGCACCAGTACTTCACAGCTCTTGTCATATGTGTAAGCTGTAAAGGAGCTCTACCACACTCACCAAGCACCATCACATTACATGTATTTCTTGACACTTAAAGAACTGATTTGCACACCTTAACTTGAATATCATCAATGATTTAGCTGTAATTAACACCCCAGATTTCAGAGCCATAGCACAGGATAGGAGTTAAAATACTCTCAATAATTTTGAATAAATCTTTGCATGGAATATCTGCAAGTTTCTTCTGATATCTATTTATGGCAAACACAGCTTTGAACTCTGAGCAGCTAAACATGTTTGAGCCTGGGTCCACACAAGTTTGGGGATACATAATTCCTAAATATCTGTAAAATGGAACAACATCAATGCTTTCACCATAAAATGACACAACTTTCACAACTTCTTAGGGGACCACCATTTCTAAATACCATTACTTTTGTCTTCTTCAGATTGACTTTCATAACAGTTTGTAAACAGAATAAGTGTAGAGCATCAATTTTCTTTTGTAGTTGAACTGCTGAATATGATACAGATGAAACATCATCTGCAAACATTATTGCAGAAACATTTTAAAATCTTGTGATATAAAAACACCCTCTCCTCCGCAGTCTTCAAGTTGAATTAAAAGCTTGTTTATGAATAGTATATAAATAGTTGTGGACTCAAAATACAGATTACATTCAAAATATTCAGTTAGTACAGTTGAAGCCCTTACACAAGCACACAGACTTAGATACATTGACGAAATTATATTGAACAGTTTACCCTTCATCCCAACATCATGTAGGCTTTGCAGTAGATTATCATGTCTTATGGTGTCAAATGCCTTTGAAAAGTCAACAAAGAGGCAGTAAAATCTCCCCTTTCTTCTCCCTGCATATTTTTTAGTCATTGCCTGCAGACTAAAAATGTCGTCAATAGTTGAATAATTGGACCTAAATCCTGCTTGTAGTTCATCAATTATGTTATTTTTCTCACAAACATTCTTAAGTCTCCAGTTTATGATAGAGGTAAATATTTTACACAAGTTATCATCAAGGATATTCCCCTGTAGTTGTTCACATCATGCTTGTCTCCAGACTTAAAAAGAAGGCAAATGATACTTCTATTCCAAGCATTTGGAAACACACCATTGTCAAGTATTTCATTAAAGAGAGCAGTCAATGTAGGTAAAATTATTTTTTTTGTATTCTTGAAATATTCAGAGACAATACCATCAGGTCCTGGTGATTTATTATTTACAAGCTTTTGGATATGTTGTTCAAACTTCTTGATTTGTTATAGGTTGATTTAATTCTTCATGTGCCGGGGTATCATCAGTTACATAATTATCTGTGTCTGTTGGTGGAGGTAAGATGGGTTTATTTTCTGAGTGGAGGAGGGAAGAAAAAAGTGCTTCATCCATTCATCAGTTCTAATTCCAACTAGCAATTGTGATTGTCTCCCTTGCTTTAACAATTTCCAGAATATATTAGGATTAGCTCTTGATTCAATTTGTTTTTGTTGCTGTTGATTTTGATAAGATTGTCTTTTAAGTGCAAAAGTTTTCTTGAGTTTAGAGAGCAACTCCCTGAACACACTAATATCTAAACAATAGTCTCTATGTCCTCTCAGGGCACGGTATTTTTCATTCTTTAAGTTTTTTAGTTCACAGTCCCACCAAGGTGGTTGACTGATCTGTCTAGATTTATCATGGGTTGAAGGAAAACAGTAAAGTCTCTTGTTTATAGATGATGCTTCTTGGTAGACATTCACAAGTCCACAGAGTGCAGTATTAACATCTGTTGAAATTATCTGTTCAATTTCATCTTTGAGGCGGTCATACAAGTCTTTAAACTTGGATTTAAAGACATCTTTATTATCTTCCTTCCATGGGTAGTTGTACCAGGGATTAACTTCAAGTTCACTTAGCAGAGAATCATCATTGTTCTTGTTGACTTGTACATTACTGCAATCATTATGAGCAAAATAAGCCTGCAAAACACTGGGAAGTGATTTGACTCATCTCGCTCACCTACTCCAAAGTCAGATATACGTGGAATGAGGCTAGGGGAAGCTATCATATAGTCCACAGTACTGGCACCATTGTGTGTAATGCATGTATATTCACCTTGCTTGTCTCTGTGACATCTTCCATTCAATATATGTATACTGAATAATTTGCACAATTCAACAAGTCTCTTACTAAAATTGTTGCAGTTATCAGAATCTTTATTGTTCCTTGGTACTTCAAAGCTGTCAGTTGGGTACTTATCAATGTCCTTTTGGATAAAATCAATGTTATCTTCAGGTATGTAATCAAGGAAGGTTTTGGTCCCAGCATTCAAATCACCAGCAAGAAAGAGTTCCTTTTCTGGGTGATCATGTACAATCTCTGTCAAATAGTCCTCCAATACTGACATACCATCTCTATCTTTATCCTCATAGACAGGCGAGATCTCAGGTGATAGATATGTCAGAATCAAGACTGTATCCTTGTCAATACCTAATCTTGATGTGTTAAATAAGAAAACTACTGTATTTTCAAAATGTTCATATATCCTTGTTAAATATCCATCAATGACCCACGATTCTCAAACATAAATTGTCACACCACCACTGTATCTACCAAACTTCTTAGTTTTTACCCGAACACTGTTATATGAATGTATGGCGTTATACATACGCATATAACTCCATTTGATATATAGTTATGTCGTTCAGATATTAGGCAGAATTTTGTTCGCTCAGAGTTTCCGTAAAGCTGCTAAATAACAAAAATTGTCTCACAGTACTTTTACCAGTGGATGATAAAAAGCGGCGAAATTTCCTGAATAAATTTTAAGACAACACTTAGCAGTATCTTTTGTTCAAACGGATGAATATCTGCAGTTACAATACCATCAGATCGGAAATTTAATACTCTGTGTAATCATATAGCCAGAGGTAGATCCAGTCCCGCATGATCGCAATTGTCGCACAACCTGCACTTTTCCGATCTTAGGAAAATGTGCGTCAGAAAAAACCCTAAGCATCCAGCGGGTTAATTTTGATTGTGTTTCCCATGTTTTAAGATACAATATGTATAATGTATACTGACGAGGCACGATGTGCTTTTCATTTGGCATCTATCAGTTTGTCGCAAACGCTTTTCCGAATGTAACGGACGTTAAGTGAATTTGGCGATCGGCTGATACACAATCATGTTATTTAACAGTTGTAACATATGCAATCGTTTTATCTAATAGTTATAATATAAGCATAATTTTTATTTAAAGAGCAAAAATTTTAGTTTTTGTTGCGTATTTGACACGCTAGGATTTGATTAATCTGCGTAGTTCAGTTTATTTAATGCGTATTTTACGCAAATACACAGCTTATCTTGAGCTCTGGAATTTACCTTTTTCTTTGGATCTCTGGATCGAGATTGCAGACTAACATGAAATCACTGGACTCGGTTCCTGTCTACCTAAACTAAATCGCGCTAACCTTGCGTGGCGCACCAACAATGGAACCAGTTTAATAAAATCACCCAACTTCCCCCTTACATTCCTACTCTACCAATTATATGATAGTTGATACGAAATTGTATTCAAATTGACAAAGCAATAATTATTAGCTGAGGTAAGTGTATATTCTGCATGGTCACCCATCACAGTGGAGAGCTTTGATTGGTGCCACCGACAGCGAAGAGAAATTGCATTCCAATAACAAAACAAGAGGTCCATGGGGCCTGTGTCGCTCACCTGACTATTTACGCAATCAGTCCATTTGTACAGTTGTGAATTCCTATCACCTGAGAATACTTCCAACCAAATGTCAGTGATGGGGAGTGGTGGGCCAGTGATGGGGAGTGGTGGGCCAGTGATGGGGAGTGGTGGGTCAGTGATGGGGAGTGGTGGGTCAGAGATGGGGAGTGGTGGGCCAGTGATTGGGAGTGGTGGGTCAGTGATGGGAAGAAGTGGGTCAGTGATGGGGAGTGATGGGTCAGTGATTGGGCGTGGTGGGTCAGTGATGGGGAGTGATGGGTCAGTGATTGGGAGTGGTGGGTCAGTGATGGGGAGTGGTGGGTCAGTGATGAGGAGTGGTGGGTCAGTGATGGGGAGTGGTGGGTCAGTGATGGGGAGTGGTGGGTCAGTGATGGGAAGAAGTGGGTCAGTGATTGGGAGTGGTGGGTCAGTGATGGGGCGTGGTGGGTCAGTGATGGGGAGTGGTGGGTCAGTGATGGGGAGTGGTGGGTCAGTGATGGGTCAGTGATTGGGAGTGGTGGGTCAGTGATGAGGAGTGGTGGGTCAGTGATTGGGCGTGGTGGGTCAGTGATGGGTCAGTGATTGGGAGTGGTGGGTCAGTGATGGGGAGTGATGGGTCAGTGATTGGGCGTGGTGGGTCAGTGATGGGTCAGTGATTGGGAGTGGTGGGTCAGTGATGAGGAGTGGTGGGTCATTGATTGGAAGTGGTGGGTCAGTGATGGACTGAAAATACATCCAACCAAATGTCAGTGATGGGGAGTGGTGGGTCAGTGATGGGGAATCGTGGGTCAATGATGGGAAGTGGTGGGTCAGTGATGGGGAATGGTGGGTCAATGATTGGAAGTGGTGGGTCAGTGATGGGGGGTGGTGGGTCAGTGATGGGAAGAAGTGGGTCAGTGATTAGGAGTGGTGGGTCAGTGATGGGGAATGGTGGGTCAATGATTGGAAGTGGTTGGTCAGTGATTGGGAGTGGTGGGTCAGTGATGGGGAGTGGTGGGCCAGTGATGGTGAGTGATGGGTCAGTGATTGGGAGTGGTTGGTCAGTGATGGGGAGAGCTGGGTCAGTGATGGGGATTGGTGGGTCAGTGATGGAGAGCGGTGGGTCAGTGATGGAGAGTGGTGAGCCAGTCATGGGGAGTGGTGGGCCAGTGATGGGGAGTGGTGGGTCAGTGATGGGGAGTGGTGGGTCAGTCATGGGGAGTGGTGGGTCAGTGATTGGGAGTGGTGGGTCAGTGATGGGGAGTGATGGGTCAGTGATGGAGAGTGGTGGGCCAGTGATGGTGAGTGATGGGTCAGTGATTGGGAGTGGTTGGTCAGTGATGGGGAGAGGTGGGTCAGTGATGGGGAGAGGTGGGTCAGTGATGGGGAGTGGTGGGTCAGTGATGAGGAGGTCAGTGATGGGGAGTGGTGGGTCAGTGATGAGGAGGTCAGTGATGGGGAGTGATGGGTCAGTGATGGAGAGTGGTGGGCCAGTGATAGGGAGCGGTGGGTCAGTAATGGGGAGTGGTGGGTCAGTGATTGGGAGTGGTGGGTCAGTAATGGGGAGTGCTGGGTCAGTGATTGGGAGTGGTGGGTCAGTGATTGGGCGTGGTGGGTCAGTGATGGGTCAGTGATGGAGAGTGGTGGGCCAGTGAAAGGGAGTGGTGGGTCAGTAATGGGTCAGTGATGGGGAGTGATGGGTCAGTGATTGGGCGTGGTGGGTCAGTATTGGGAAGAAGTGGGTCAGTGATGGGGAGTGGTGGGTCAGTGATGGGGAGTGGTGGGCCAGTGATAGGGAGCGGTGGGTCAGTGATGGGGAGTGGTGGGTCAGTGATGGGAAGTGGTGGGTCAGTGATGGGGAGTGCTTGGTCAGTGATAGGGAGCGGTGGGTCAGTGATGGGGAGTGGTGGGTCAGTGATGGGGAGTGGTTGGTCAGTGATGGGGAGTGGTGGGTCAGTGATGGGGAGTGGTGGGTCAGTGATGGGGAGTGGTGGCTCAGCGTTGGGGAGTGGTGGGTCAGTGATGGGGAGTGGTGGGTCAGTGAAGGGGAGAGGTGGGTCGGTGCATGGGATTGGTGGGTCAGTGATGGGGAGTGGTTGGTCAGTGATGGGAAGTGGTGGGTCAGTGATGGGGAGTGATGGGTCAGTGATTGGGCGTGGTGGGTCAGTATTGGGAAGAAGTGGGTCAGTGATGGGGAGTGGTGGGTCAGTGATGGGGAGTGGTGGGCCAGTGATAGGGAGCGGTGGGTCAGTGATGGGGAGTGGTGGGTCAGTGATGGGAAGTGGTGGGTCAGTGATGGGGAGTGGTGGGCCAGTGATAGGGAGCGGTGGGTCAGTGATGGGGAGTGGTGGGTCAGTGATGGGAAGTGGTGGGTCAGTGATGGGGAGTGCTGGGTCAGTGATGGGGAGTGGTGGGCCAGTGATAGGGAGCGGTGGGTCAGTCATGGGGAGTGGTGGGTCAGTGATGGGGAGTGATGGGTCAGTGATAGGGAGTGCTGGGTCAGTGATGGGGAGTGCTGGGTCAGTGATAGGGAGCGGTTGGTCAGTGATGGGGAGTGATGGGTCAGTGATAGGGAGCGGTGGGTCAGTGATAGGGAGTGGTGGGTCAGTGATAGGGAGCGGTGGGTCAGTGATTGGGAGTGGTGGGTCAGTGATAGGGAGCGGTGGGTCAGTGATGGGGAGTGCTGGGTCAGTGATGGGGAGTGGTGGGCCAGTGATAGGGAGCGGTGGGTCAGTGATGGGGAGTGGTGGGTCAGTGATGGGGAGTGATGGGTCAGTGATGGGGAGTGGTGGGCCAGTGATAGGGAGCGGTGGGTCAGTGATGGGGAGTGGTGGGCCAGTGATGGGGAGTGGTGGGTCAGTGATGGGGAGTGATGGGTCAGTGATTGGGCGTGGTGGGTCAGTATTGGGAAGAAGTGGGTCAGTGATGGGGAGTGGTGGGTCAGTGATGGGGAGTGCTGGGTCAGTGATGGGGAGTGGTGGGTCAGTGATTGGAAGTGGTGGGTCAGTGATAGGGAGTGGTGGGTCAGTGATGGGGAGTGGTGGGTCAGTGATGGGAAGAAGTGGGTCAGTGATTGGGAGTGATGGGTCAGTGATTGGGCGTGGTGGGTCAGTGATGGGGAGTGGTGGTCAGTGATTAGGAGTGGTGGGTCAGTGATGGGGAGCGGTGGGTCAGTGATGAGGAGTTATGGGTCACTGATCTGGAGTGGTGGGTCAGTGATGGGGGGTGGTGGGCCAGTGATGGGAAGAAGTGGGTCAGTGATTGGGAGTGATGGGTCAGTGAATGGGCATGGTGGGTCAGTGATGGGGAAGTGATGGGTCAGTGATGGGGAGTGGTGGGTCAATGATTGGAAGTGGTGGGTCAGTGATTGGGAGTGGTGGGTCAGTGATGGGGAGCGGTGGGCCAGTTATGGTGAGTGATGGGTCAGTGATTGGGAGTGGTGGGTCAGTGATGGGGAGTGGTGGGTCAGTGATGGGGAGAGGTGGGTCAGTGATGGGGAGTGGTGGGTCAGTGATGAGGAGCGGTGGGTCAGTGATGGAGAGCGGTGGGTCAGTGATAGGGAGCGGTGGGTCAGTGATGGAGAGTGGTGGGCCAGTGATAGGGAGTGGTGGGCCAGTGATAGGGAGTGGTGGGTCAGTGATTGGGAGTGGTGAGTCAGTCATGGGGAGTGGTGGGTCAGTGATTGGAAGTGGTGGGTCAGTGATGGACTGAGAATACTTCCAACCAAATGTCAGTGATGGGTCAGTGATGGAGAGTAGTGGGCCAGTCATGGGGAGTGGTGGGTCAGTGATGAGGAGTGGTGGGTCAGTGATGGAGAGTGGTGGGCCAGTGATAGGGAGTGGTGGGCCAGTGATAGGGAGTGGTGAGTCAGTGATGGGGAGTGGTTGGCCATTGATGGGGAGTGGTGGGTCAGTGATGGGGAGTGGTGGGTCAGTGATGGGGAGTGGTGGGTCAGTGATGGGGAGTGATGGGTCAGTGATGGGGAGTGATGGGTCAGTGATGAGGAGTGGTGGGTCAGTGATCGAGAGTGGTGGGTCAGTGATGGAGAGTGGTGGGTCAGTGATGGGGAGTGGTGGTCAGTGATGGGGAGTGATGGGTCAGTGATGAGGAGTGGTGGGTCAGTGATGGAGAGTGTGTGGTCAGTGATGGTGAGTAGTGGGTCAGTGATGGGGAGTAGTGGGCCATTGATGGGGAGTGGTGGGCCAATGATGGGGAGTGGTGGGCCAATGATGGGGAGTGGTGAGTCAGTCATAGGGAGTCGTGGGCCAGTGATGGGGAGTGGTGGGTCAGTCATGGGGAGATGGATCAGTGATGGGGAGTGGTTATCAGAGGTTCGTTCAGACCACATAGATCATTCAGACCACTTGGATCTATTCAGACCACAGAGGATCTTTGAGACCACAGAGGATCATGCACACCACAGTGGATCATTCACACCACATATGATAATTCACATCACAGAGGATCATTCACACTACAGAGGATGATTCACACCATATAGGATCATTCAGACCACAGAGGATCATTCACACTAAAGAGGATCATTCAAACAACATTTGAATAATTCACACTACAGAGGACACTTCACACTATAAAGGGATAATTCACACCAGAAGATCTTCCACACCACATATGATAATTCACACCACAGAGGATCATTCTAACCAGAGAGGATCATTCACCCTACAGAGGAAAAATCACACCACATAAGATCATTCAGACCACAAAGGATCATTCACACTATAGAGGATCATTCACACTACAGAGGATCATTCACACCACAGAAGACCATTCACACCACAGAGGATCATTCACACAAGAGCGGATCATTCACACTACAGAGGATCATTCACACTACAGAGTATCATTCACACTGCAGAGGATCATTCACACTACAGAGGATCATTTGCACCTCGGAGAATCATTCGCACCACAAATGATCATTCACACCACAGAGGATCATTCACACTACAGAGGATCATTCACACTACAGAGGATCATTCAGACCACAGTGGGTCATTCAGACCACAGAGGATCATTCACACTACAGAGGATCATTCACACTACCGAGGATCATTCACACTACAGAGGATCATTCACACTACAGAGGATCATTTTACAATACAGAGGATCATTCATACTACAGAGGATCATTTTACAATACAGAAGATCATTCATACTACAGAGGATCATTCACACTACAGAGGATCATTCAGACCACAGAGGATCATTCTCACTACAGAGGATCATTCAGACCACAGAGGATCATTCACACGACAGAGGATCATTCACACGACAGAGGATCATTCACACTACAGAGGATCATTCACACTACAGAGGATCATTCACACCACAGAGGATCATTCGCACAACAGAGGATCATTCACACTACAAAGGATCATTCACACGACAGAGGATCATTCACACCACAGAGGATCATTCACGCTACAGAGATTCATTCACACCACAGAGATCCATTAAGACCACAGAGGATCATTCACACTACAGAGGATCACTCAGACCACAGAGGATCATTCGCACGACAGAGGATCATTCACACTATAGAGGATCATTCACACGACAGAGGATCATTCGCACTACAGAGGATCATTCACACGACAGAGGATCATTCAGACCACAGAGGATCATTCACGCTACAGAGATTCATTCACACCACAGAGATCCATTCAGACCACAGAGGATCATTCATACTACAGAGGATCATTCACACCACATATGATAATTCACACCACAGAGGATCATTCACACTATAGAGGATCATTCACACCACAGAGGATCATTCACACTACAGAGGATCATTCAATCACTTGTAACAGAATACATAATCACGAGGTACTTTACCTTCAATGTCAAATTACAGAACTATCCATCTACCCGAAGAGAATACTTGATACTATCAATACATGCCAACATGATAGAAACACACGTTGTGACAAGGGAAATCCTACAAAACAAATATGTTGCCAGCGAAATCAATGACTACGTTGACAGACAGCTAGCCTACGTTATTAAATCTGTCAATACACTTCGCTGACAATGAATAGTTTTACCACTCAATAACATGCTTGTTTGTTACAATATCCAAATATGAATCAAGAACAATCTTTTTATTTTTTCTATTTTTAACTTTAAGAATAGAGACAGGTTGAATGGTTTAAACCACTTAAATAACTTGCATCAGAGCCTTTCAGAATAATCATTTTATTCAATCTGAGTTGTTTTATTTTATGGTACGTAATTCTTTCGCCAGAATCCCAGATATCAGAAATTGAATACACTTACAGCTCATCTTAACAACTCGTTTAGAATATCTTCACAAACATTTTCGTGTAGAGGTATGTGGCGAAAACAAGTCTTTACAAAAACTTTGCTGTTGGATTATTTCTTTAGGTTCACACTAAACTTTTCAAACAATCATCCAGGCCTACAATAAGCGTCACATCTGTCTTCATCGATGACCATATTCATCACTGTCCAATGGTCAACTGTGACATAAGCCATGTTTACCTGGCGATGCCTCCCTTGTCGGACAAGAAATGTTCATTTGGCATAGCCTGGCGACAGCACCCACTCTTTGGAGGCATTTCTGAATACCATCTGAAAATAACAAAACCATCACATGACTAGAGGACCTAGACCAATCTCTGAAATAAACTTATCTTACAGAAAAATTGTTGGTAAATCATCTTAATTAAGAAATGATGAAAAGGAGCCCAGAGACTCTTTATTTCCTGATATTGCAGTAATCTAGACTTGCCCACTATTAAGGACAGACATGAATAGAGGACCATGAAAGTCACACAGGTTTGAAACAGTGACTGTTCCAACTTGGAAATCTCTGCCTGCTGCCAAACATTTGTAGTGTAGATGGTCCCAGGCCATGACCATCTTAACCTGAACAATACGACAATGGGGAACACAGGACCACACTGAAATTGCGTAGTCAGCAAAACGCAAATTAATCTTGAGAAAAACTACATTGGATTAACAAGATTACCATGGCTGAAACTCAGTTCAAAAGCAGACTATGCCAAGTCTAACCTTTACCTGCCTTAGACATGTGCCAGTCATGTTTTACTCAACAAAGAGCATGCCAAAACTGGTAGTGTTATTGCAATTCATCGGTACACAGGCGCATCGTCAGCAAACTTTGCACGATACGATACCCGATACATTTAATTTGGCATCGATTCCCATTTACCCCGTATCCATTGTCCATGATGATCTCTCATCTATATGAATAAGCAAGTACAAACTATTTTTTAAATTCATCATAACTTTTTGGCCGTCCTACGGATACGAAACAATAACAAAACTGACCAGCTTTTCCTTGCTTACTGTCATAATACAATACATAAACTGTTTGTTTCTTATCCTATTCTCATACAGAATGGTTGGCTTCATTCATTGTCATGTTTGATGGGAATTAGTCAGTTGTCCTTCTATGAAACTCTATTCTCAGTCTAATGACTGGGATTTTCTCATAAAATGTCATAGATACAGTATTGAGATACATATCACATGGTGGCTTCTGTATTAAGATATGTATCACATCGTGTAACGCCTGTACTGCTACATCCCTACAAACTTGTCATATCTTGGATTTAAACCCCCAATATTCTTCAAATTAAGGTTGGATATGGTGTTGCGTGGTGCCGCAATCAATATTTACTGTGGTCAACAGCATGAGAGAAATGAGCAAAGTTTGAACCTGAGAGTCTTGTTAATGTGAGTGAGTGAGTGAGTTACCCCGCTTTTAGCAATATTCCAGCAATATCACGGAGGGGGACACCAGAAATGGGCTTCACACATTGAACCCATGTCGGGAATCGAACCTTGGTCTTCGGCGTGACGGGCGAACGCTTTAACCACTAGGCTACCCGGTGTAGACTAGGTCTTCAGCAACCCATGCTGTAAAAGGCGACTATGCTTGTCGTAAGAGGCGACTAACCAATGTCCTTGATGGTACAGAGTCTGACAACAGGCAGGAACAGATGTCCTTGATGGTACAGACTCTGACAACAGGCAGTAACCAATGTCCTTGATGGTACAGAGTCTGACAACAGGCAGTAACCAATGTCCTTGATGGTACAGAGTCTGACAACAGGCAGGAACAGATGTCCTTGATGGTACAGAGTCTGACAACAGGCAGTAACCAATGTCCTTGATGGTACAGAGTCTGACAACAGGCAGGAACACATGTCCTTGATGGTACAGAGTCTGACAACAGGCAGTAACCAATGTCCTTGATGGTACAGAGTCTGACAACAGGCAGGAACAAATGTCCTTGATGGTACAGAGTCTGACAACAGGCAGGAACAAATGTCCTTGATGGCACAGAGTCTGACAACAGGCAGTAACAGATGTCCTTGATGGTACAGAGTCTGACAACAGGCAGGAACAAATGTCCTTGATGGTACAGAGTCTGACAACAGACAGGAACAAATGTCCTTGATGGTACAGAGTCTGACAACAGGCAGGAACACATATCCTTGATGGTACAGAGTCTGACAACAGGCAGGAACAGATGTCTATGATGGTACAGAGTCTGACAACAGGCAGGAACAGATGTCCATGATGGTACAGAGTCTGACAACAGGCAGTAGCAAATGTCCTTGATGGTACAGAGTCTGACAACAGGCAGGAACAGATGTCTATGATGGTACGGAGTCTGACAACAGGCAGGAACAAATGTCCATGATGGTACAGAGTCTGACAACAGACAGGAACAAATGTCCTTGATGGTACAGAGTCTGACAACAGACAGGAACAAATGTCCTTGATGGTACAGAGTCTGACAACAGACAGGAACAAATGTCCTTGATGGTACAGAGTCTGACAACAGACAGGAACAAATGTCCTTGATGGTACAGAGTCTGACAACAGACAGGAACACATGTCCTTGATGGTACAGGTTACACACAACCAAATGTTTTCCCATAGACTTCTGTAGTAACGTTAAACTTCTGTTAAAAATAACTAAGCATTCAACATCTTTAACCTGTACGTGTGTGCACAGCTTGGCCTTAGAGTAGCAATAAAAACATAAAAAATGACCAGCTTAGCCAGTTCCTTTTCCGAGTACAGGAAGCTAAACACACCATCCCCAGTTTCGCACCAAATGTCACCTACCTACTCATCATGTTGGAAAAGACAGTTCTAAATATAGAAAAACATGGTCAGTTTTAATAACTGGATGGATGTAGATTTGAAAGACATAAAAATCTTACAGAAAATCCTCCAATCACAGCCTGCAGATATCCCTCGATCTGCACTGAAGGCTCCCTACGAAAACCGCACTGTCCCAACTGGTTCTGATTTGGTGTAGTAGAACCTGTAGAAAAATCAGAATACATTTGCACTTGTCAAATCTGTGATTTATGTATTGTATATATATGTAGCTTCTCAGAAAAAAAATGGAAATTGGATTAAACTTTACCACTTGTTCCTATCCAGCATGTCTATATGGCACCACAATACATAGTTTTGATGCACAGAAAGAGTTGTGAGAGTTTAAGGATGTGCACTTCATCAATGTTTTACAAAAGGTATTTCTGTATTAATAAAGAAGTTTCTACCTCCAAAATTTCATACAAGCACACTGTACTTTACATTAATTAAAACATAAATTGAGTTATTTGTTGTAACACATCACAACATAATTGATCCTCCTAACTACGTTGAAACTATGTTCTTTAGTGATAATAAACATGTTTTAGTCACAAACACGTGATTGACAATGTGAACAAATTGAAATGGTTCAGCCGGACAAAGTTTGTTGTTAAACTTTAAACACATATCATAGATTGTCATCGCGAAATTTACAGTGCACAAAATACCCCAATGTCATAAATATATTCTCCTTTACAACATACTTACATATACTGCTTCAAATTGCGAGGATTGTAGCTGGATTGTTAAAAAATACTGTAGTAAATTTCGATTGTGTTGGTCCGAAGGGAAGTAACTGCGTAGTTATGTAAAAACTGCATACCGTTAATAGAAATAGGGTGGGGTCCGATTTAATTTTTTTTTATAGATTGTCCCTTATAAATTAAATCTAAAACACACTGGAAATTATAAAAAATGATTGCAGAAGAGAATACACCTATTTAAAACCGCGTATTCGGCTGAATTGATAGTTTCAAGAATAACTGTTGACTTAATCAATGAAACTCAACTTCGAATAAAATTCTAACAAGCGTATAGTCGACGAAGTCATCTATATCCCCCGCCTATTTTAACACGTTAAACCAGGTAACTGACCCAACATTTCTCTTAGCCCATGTCAAAATAGCTGCAATGGAAATTCTAAAATATACATTTCTAAAACTCCTTAATATCAAATGTCACCAGTTCAGTGTGTGCTTTATATATAGTCATGCAATGTTTGGCAAGGAAATATTTAACAGTTTATTTGTTATACTCAATAAGTGAACCCACCCTATAATAGAACCTAAGTGAAACTTGTTGTCATGGAAACATATATAACCAGGGTATTTTGGAAAAAGGGGTTTTTAATATTCACTTAAAATATAGTTTACTAAATGAAACTTTTGGGTAAAATATGGATGCATATGAGAGAAGTGACCGTACAGGGTCAGGGCAACACTCCTGGGGCAAGTGATTATTGGTTTTGCTTCTCTTAAGTGATAGAGTTTACTTTTCATTAGTACAATGAATTAGTAGAATTGGTCTTGCAATAAAAATGTCAGAAGGGAGATAGATAGATGGAACAAAATTGTTAGTCTTGTGGTGATCAAATATTTATGAGTATTACTGCTGGATTAGAATGTCAAAATAACATGATTAAGTATCTTTTCGGTGCCTTCCAGTCTGGCAGAGTACTTGAGGGTATTTGATTATATGAGTATGTCCGAGTTGACCAATGACCCTAGAGAGGTAATCAAATTGGTTAGACCAAAGGGCTTGATGATAAAACTAATTACTATGGAAATTGGGGAATGACCATTATGACTCATTTTTCATGTCAGATATGATTTTGGTGGGAGGAGCTAAAATCATCACCGATAGTATTTTGGGAGTTGTCCGAAAGTGGTGCGGGGAGTCGGGAGCATACAGCTGAACAGAACGGTTCACTGTGGTTTTGGGATCCCGAGTCAGAAAAGAAGTAGAGTTAACGTTCATCAGAAAAACCATCAGGCTCTTCATATAGGTATGTGTTGTATTTATATCAGGCAACAACAAGAACTAATCTGAGGACCATGTGTACATATTTATGATTAATTCTATCATAAATAAAAAGAGGCTGGAGCAAACCATCTGACTTGTGATTTTCAAGAGAGCTACATCATCCCTAGAACCAAGGAGTAGTTGATAAGTAGAAGTGACCATAGGTAGAAGGGTAGAGTACCCGGAACCTAAGGTTACACATAAACAATAAAACTTTCTAAAAGTGCTAAATATCAAAAGGCACCAGTTCAGTATGTGTCTGGTAAACATGCAAGGTTTTGTAAGAAATTATTTAACGGTTTTTGAGTTATGCTCCGGAAACGATTTCGGGACGCACACACACACACGCACACACGCACGCACGCACACACACACACACACGCACACATGTACACACACACACGCAAGCACACACACACAAACGCAAGCACACACACGCAGACACGCACGCACACACACGCACACATGTACACACACACGCGCGCGCGCGCGCGCACACACACACACACACACACGGACGGAACCCATTTGTAAAAATACCAGCTTATGAAATACGCACGCAACCTTTACCCTAGTTTGTGATGTACGCTGATTTTTCCGCTTTCTGCGTTAATCAAGGAGTTAAGAGATTGGATTCGGAACCGACCCTCCGAGGTGTGGTAAACTAGCTTTGAGAATAAGTGCAGGAAGAGTTACCTCCTCTTGCCATGAGAATTGCTGAGAGACCATTATATGGTCTCTGGCGTGAGCAAGAAAAAAGAATGTCGAGTGAAAGATATGAATGGACTAACCTGCAGATGCATGTGCCTAACAGTCCTGACCTGCGATGGAGATGCGACAAGACCGAGCGAGCATGCGTGTGTGTGGTGATGTCTGCCACAAGATTCAATGACCATGTGGTGGAGGCAAACACCTTTTCCATTCGTGAACTCGCTTGTGATTGGTGCTTGCTGCTTGCTTCCGGGTTACGGAAATGGGCGAGCGGTGCCGAATGGCCGAACAGTGTGTTTCGGTGGTGGGCTAGCCTTGCTCCAAGGCTGTAATGAATTATGTCTGCTGATAAGTTCAAGGATTTTATAAAAACAATTCTATCGTAACGATCGGCGAGTCTACAAGGAGTTGTAGTCAAAACGGCCTCGAAAGGTAAAGTCCAAACGGTCACAACTAAAAAGTAATAACGGTCACACAGAAAATATAGAAGACAAACTCAAGTTTGCATTAATTTGTTTTACAGAAAAAGAGAACACATGTGAAGATAGATTTAAAGAAATAAAGAGTCCCAAAAGAGTAGAAAAAATGTTATAATATTTGTGACTTGTTTCAAAAGAGTGTTGATGCTGCATTTAACGGCAAAAACGTCTCAACGCCAAAAAAACAAATACACAACACACATGCAGAAAATATAAATGACAATGAGAAACAAAATTGTAACAAAATAAATAAAAAATGAATAAACAAGAAAGAAAGAATAGACTGGAATGAAAGAAAGCTGAATTTAAGATATTTGTAAGTAATTTGTGTTTGAAAAGGAAGCTTTGATTATGGCTGAAAGTGGAGAGGGTCAACAGCGGACGATAGTTTTGTTTTTTTTATAGATTTTTTTCAAAGAATACGTGACTTGGAAAGCTTCTTGTAAAGCAACAAAGAACGCGCTGCGTGTGAAGACGGACGCAAGGTTTTAACTACTTGGGGATACAGACGAATACGATTGGTCGCTTTGTGGTGTTTAGGAAGCTGTCGCTAGGCGGAGTTTGTGTTTGACGGGGGGGGGGGGGGGGGGGAGTGCCCTTTGAAAATACATACCAGAGACAGACCTGGTGCCTCTAGGGTTTGGTGTTGACGTCCTGAGTAATGGATTGCAATGATGTGCCACGTGTGGAAGTACGTGGGCCATGGTTTTGTGCCATGTCGTCTTTGTATAGCCATGTGGGTCCAGGAAAGCGGAGTCGACAAATGGAATGGGTGGCGTTATGACTACTTCCGGGTCAATATTACTTGGGTCATCGGCCAAGAGAAAACATAAAAAAAAAGTTTTACAGTTGAGAGTGAATGAGAGTTCATCTTTGAATGTCTAGGGTTTCTGCTTAGTTTCCAACAATGTTGTATTCCTTTGCCTCAGGATTTGAAAAAAACTGGCATTACCACATAGGTACCATTGGACAGCGGACCCTATTAATTTCCCTAGTTTTACCTCAACGTGTGACCCGTGAAGATTCAGGGGTAGAATAGAACTTCAGCAACCCATGCTTGTCGTAAAAGGCGACTAATGGGATCGGGTGGTCAGGCTCGCTGACTTGGTTGATGCATGTCATCGATCCCAATTGCGTGGATCGATGCTCATGATATTAATCACTGGATTGTCTAGTCCAGACTCGGTTATTTACAGACCGCCGTCATATAGCTGGAATATTGCTGAGTGCGGCGTAAAACAACAAACCAAGCAACCAACCTCAACATGTTGGAAGGTTTGGACCAGACAATCCAGTGATTGATATCATGAGCCTCGATCCACGCAGTTTGGATCGATGGCATGCATCAGCCAAGTCAGCGAGCCTGACAACCCGATCCCGTTGGTCGCCTCTCACGACAAGCATTGTCGCCCTTTAGGGCAAGCATGGGTTGACCTATTCTCTACCGGATTTTCACAGGTCTGTATCCTAAATATCCTAAGTAAAACACAGTGATATGTTCGCGAAAGGAATAGGACATAGTAAATTTAATTGTTGCTAGGCTATGGGCGCAAATATACAAATTGTGGCTTGTCCATTCGTGACCACTGGTGTTGGGAAAAGACTTGCTGCAGAGTTTACTCTGTGGAATGATACAGCGAGTTGCGGATGTCTTCAAATCTCCTTGTGATTTTGCGACAGATAAAAGGGACACAATTCAGCCAGTGCATGAATGATCTACATGTTGTTGTCGGCGCTCTCCTTGTTTGAGCATTTGTTCAATAAAAAAGCACATGCACGATACTATTTGTGTAGGTATATGTCTATAGAAAGTAGTAAAACGTAGCCCAATGGACTTTGACGTCACAGACGTCTTGAAACTTATGACGTCAGAACTGGAGATGATGACGTCATACCACCTGTACTTGAACTC